AAGAGGAGGAGACATACCCACGTGGGCAGCATCACGTGGGTCAATGAGAGGCTTACATGTGCAGATACATGTCAGCACTTGGGGCTATAAATACCCCCCAACCACCTCCGAAGAAGGTAATTAATCTCGACGCTTCTCTCTCTGCAACTACTCCTGGAGAGCATCTCTCTCTAGAATATTGAGTATTGCTGACTTGAGCGTCGGAGTGTTTTCCCCGAGGAAACAACCTCGGGATTTTCAAGTGTGGAAGCAGCTAAGGACTTCAACAGTGTTGGATTGTGAAGCTGCCCAAACATTTGGCGCCGTCTGTGGGAACCGAACAAGAAGTCGTGTGACTTAACCTGCTGAAAGACAACATGGTCCGTACTTTTACAGGAGGTCGCCCTCCAAGAGATGGGATGGACGAACAGGAGGACGCCCAAGCATCTGAGCCCGGCTTAAATGATTTTAGACCAATGCCCAGAAACCTTTTTGTGGGGGGTGCAGAACAGGGTCACCTAAGCGAAACAAATGATGATGAAAGAACACCAACTGGGTATGCAACCCAGCCTGAACAGTTCCAAGTTCCAACAGGAACAAGACAAAGACCTTCTAGACCGTACAATTCACAACGTGAACGACCTGAAAGGTCAACAGAACCTGCTCGGACAACCGAGCTCGAAGAGAGAACCAGAGTTCTCGAAATGGCAATGGGAAAAATCCTTACCCGTCTGATTCCTGATGACCCCCTGATTCCTTTGTTGAACAGGGATGCACAACCAACTGCGGTTGTTGCAACTCGAAATTCCCCCGCTCTCAGCAACATAGTAGTGCCGACCAGGCCAAGGGGAAGTGGGAAGTTGAATATCGATCCCAGCTCGTCCAAACATAGTGAAGAACTGATGAGAAAGAACGCAGATCTTGAAAGACAGCTGCGGGACGTACAAAAGTCTATTGACGAGCTGAAAAGTCCCAGATCGCATCAACAGACTTTGGATTTGGACAGTGCACCACTAAATTTATCCATTACGGCAGAGCCGTATCAAGAGGGATTCAAAATTCCCCACCTGGAGACATATGATGGCACGGGCGACCCTGATGAACATCTGCACACCTATCAAGCCATCATGAGAATCCAAAACGCTAATGACGCCATGATGTGCAAAGTGTTCCCAGCAACACTCAAGTCAACAGCCAGGAGATGGTATCACAAACTCCCCAGACATTCAATAGATTCGTTTTCCCAGCTCGCCAAGCTGTTTTCTAACAAATTTGCGAGCCAAAAGGAGATCAAGCGCACAGCAACTGAGCTGATGCAAGTTAACCAGAAGGAAGAGGAGTCTTTGAGGGACTACATGCAGCGGTTTAACAAAGCCACCTTGGACATTGATAATGTCCCAGACACGATTTGCCTGTCCGCCCTGTTGCATGGGTTGAAGCGTGGCCGGTTCCTAGACGACCTGCTTGAAAACCCACCGAAGACGTGGAACGAGGTGAATGACAGGTCGGCCAGCTTCATACTGTCGGAGGACTTTCAGTCGTCCAAGCGACGAGCTGATGATAAGCCGAGCAGAGGTCAGGAACAACAACCGCGAAGAGAAGAGAAGAAGAAGCAGAAGGTCAGTGAGCAATGGGGGAAGCTAGGTGAGTTCCCGAAATATGCCAGTTACATTCCTTTAACCTTACCTAGGTCTCAAATCCTGGCACAAATTCAGCACTGGGTTAGGAGACCTCCACCCCCGCTACATGACTCCCCGAGGGCAGATAAGAGCAAGCATTGTGACTACCACCGTGTATATGGTCACAATACAGAGGACTGCCAACACTTGAAGGACGAGTTAGAGTTTTTGGCTCGTAACGGGAAGCTAGAAGGGTATGTTCAGAACCCTCACACCCAGCAACCCACTCAAACCCATTTTGTACAGGCGTACGACCGACCTCAAGGACAGAGGTACCAGCATGGAGGGACGCAGGGTGCATATCAGGATAATTAGTATCCTTCTGAACAGGGCAGAGCATACCGAGGACGTCCTTTCAACAAGAGAGGACAGGGACCGAGAACTACCGCCCCGAATCAAAAAGACAGGAAAGGGGTAGGTTATGCTGGGATACCCCCACCTTCTGGTACCATAAACATGATATCGGGTGGTGTTCACTCTGGGGGCCAAAGCGCCCGAGCCCGCAAGGCATACGCCAGGCAGGTGATGACCGTTAACAAGAACAGGCCTCTGAAGCGACCATTCGAGGAGGCGGAGTGGGAAAACACACCCATTACATTTAGCCCAACAGATTACAAACGAGCAGATGGAGAGCCTGACATCATGATGCCGCATGCAGATCCTTTCGTGGCAACGGTTCATATAGGCAACCATAATGTCAATAAGGTCTTCATTGATACGGGTAGCTCGCCAGACATCCTGTACTGGACTTACTTCCAGAAAATGCAGCTAAATCCAAGCTCGCTGCAAAAGCACGAAGGACCTATATATGGGTTTGACAATCAGCTCGTGCCGGTTGAAGGAGTAGTTACCCTTCCCATCTATGTGGGCTCGGAACCAAGGTTCAGGATGGCTTCTGTCACTTTCCTGGTCGTCAAGATGGAGTCAGCTTTCAACGCTATACTGGGAAGAGCCACTCTTTGCGAGCTGAAGGCTGTCATATCACAACCCCATCTTTGCATGAAATTCCCAACTCCTCAGGGGGTATGAGTGCTTAAAGGAAATCAAAAGATGGCCAGAGCATGTTATCAGGACACATTTAAGAAGGTTGAGCTCGCTGTAGCCCCGAGAGGCTTTGAAAATAATAGGCTGACTCAGCCCGGCCAGCAGACAATGAGCATATCGGACAATGAGCATATCGGACATTGAGCATAGACCCGAGGGAGTCGAGCAGAAAGCAGAGCCGGTAGAGCCAGTAGAAATCGTTCCTTTCAACCCTGATGCGCCGGAAAGAACAGTAAAGATCGGCACCAAGCTCACAGAAGAAGAACGAACAGAGCTTCTGGAGTTTTTGAGGGTTAATCAAGATGTGTTCGCGTGGACTACTGATGAAATGCCTGGCATCCCAGTGGAGCTGACAGTCCACAAACTCAGCACGGATCCCACCAGAAGGCCGGTGGTACAGAAACGTCGCCTTTTCGGCCCAGAAAAGCAAGCTGCCATAGACGAGGAGATACAAAAGTTGCTACGGGCAGGCTTCATCAGGAGAGTGGAGTACTCTGAATGGGTGTCCAACCCTGTGCTCATCAAAAAACCAAATGGCAAGTGGAGGATGTGTATTGACTTCACCAACCTCAATGATGCATGCCCAAAAGACCCTCATCCCTTGCCAAATGTCGAGAAGTTAGTAAAGCGGGCAGCAGGACACGAACGGATGAGCTTCCTTGATGCCAGTTCGGGTTATCATCAGGTCCAGCTGTTGCTAGACGACCAGGAGAAAACAGCTTTTTACGCTGGTGATGCAATCTACTGCTATGTCATGATGCCGTTTGGCCTCAAAAATGCTGGAGCAACATACCAGAAGTTGGTGCAAATCGTCTTTAAGCTCCAAATCGGCAGAAACATAGAAGTATATGTGGATGACATGATAGTCACCAGTGTGTGAGCTGAGGATCACATAGGCGACCTGGATGAAACTTTTCAAAACTTGCGCCGAGCACAAATGAAGCTGAATCCCTTGAAGTGCACATTTGATGTGGAATCCGGGAAATTCCTAGGGTGCGTGGTATCCAAGAAAGGAATTGAAGTAAATCCAGAGAAGGTGCAGGCCGTTCAGCAGATGGAACCCCCCAAGACAGTAAAAGATGTACAGCGTCTGACAGGTCGGGTGGCTGCGTTGCACAGGTTCATAGCCAGATCGGCAGAAAGGTGCCTTCCGTTCTTCAAAGCTCTCCGGGAGCCTAAAAACTTTCAGTGGACTGAGGAGTGTCAAAAGGCGTTTGACGAGCTTAAACAGTATTTGGCATCTGCACCCCTACTGTTTAAGCCTGTGGAAGGGGAGAGTTTATACCTATACATGGGGGTTACAGGAGAGGCAGTGAGCTCGGTTTTGCTCAGGGAAGAGAATAAGAATCAGAAGCCTATCTGCTACGTGAGCAAGGTTTTACAAGGTGCAGAGCAGAACTACCCATTAGCAGAAAAGGTTGCATTTGCCCTGGTATACACAGCTCGTAAGTTGAGAGCTTATTTCCAATCACATCAGATTGTTGTCTATACCGATTTGCCATTGAGAAAAATACTGCAGAAACCTGAACTCTCTGGTCGACTTATTGGGTGGAGCGTCGAGCTGAGTGAATATGACCTCAAATTTCAGCCGCGTACAGCCATCAAGGGCTAGGCCGTTACAGACTTTCTGGTGGAATGCATTTCAGCAACTAAGAAAGAAAAAGCACCTGAGCACCCAGTCTGGGTTTTGTATGTTGATGGTGCCGCTAGCGTTGAAGGGTCGGGTGCTGGGGCTGTGTTAGTGGGCCCAGATGGCTTTAAGTCGGAGCACGCACTGAGGTTTAAGTTTCAGACGACTAATAATGCTGCAGAATATGAAGCCCTCATTTATGGATTAAAGCTGGCGTCCGAGCTGAAAGTACAAAGCATTCAAGTCTTTAGCGACTCTCAGCTCGTCGTGGGCCAGGTGAATGGCAACTGTGAAGTCAGGGATCCCCAGCTCGATCGTTATGCCTCTATGGTCAGTAGATTGACGTCAATGTTTGTCTCTTTCCAAATTGATAAAATCCCGAGAGCAGATAACCGTCGAGCCGACGAGCTGTCCAAATTGGCCTCCTCGCAGGACCTTAACCCTCAGAGGTCGACAATCGTCGAGGTGCTTGATGCCCCAAGCTACACCGTTCTCGCAGCCGAGTGCCAACTGTTGAGTACAGACCCCTCTGCACCAAGTTGGACCACCCCGCTAATAAGTTATTTACAAAATGGCGTGCTACCCGAAGATCAGTGCGTTGCAAAGCTGGTCAGACGCAGGGCGGCACATTTCACTTTAATAGATAATCAACTCTACAAGCGGGCAGCCTCTATGCCCCTATTACGCTGTCTCACTCCTTATGAAGCTGAATATGCTGTGAGAGAAATTCATGAGGGAGTATGTGGCACGCACGTTGGAGGTAAAACCTTAGCTCGGAAGCTCCTGAGGCATGGGTATTACTGGCCAACTATGGTTGAGGACGCACAGAACTATGTCAAAAAATGCCCGACCTGCCAGTTCAATGCTGATGACATTCACATGCCAGGTATCTGAGCTCGTTCTAAAGTTCGTGCGAACTTCATGTCTTTCTATAAACAAAGCATAAGTACCTCCATGGAAACAGGGGAAATGCTCTCATCACTCTCATCTCCCTGGCCTTTTGCCCAATGGGGAGTCGACCTGCTCGGACCTTTTGTGAAAGGAAAAGGAGGCTGCACGTACCTCGTTGTTGCAGTAGATTACTTCACAAAATGGATAGAAGCCAAACCCCTATCCACGACGACAGAAAAGAAAATAGAGGAATTCCTATTCAATGCAATATTATGCAGGTATTCCTTGGTGACTTAAGCCATTGGCACACTGTATATACGTACAATCTGCCGCTCAGCTCGGTTATCTGTTTGCAGGTTTGGCATACCTAAACGGATCGTCGCTGATAATGGCCCGCAGTTTCGAGCCGCCGCGCTGAGGTCGTTCTGCAATGACTATGGTATTGAACTCTCCTTAACGTCTGTATATACTCCTCAGTCAAACGGACAGGCCGAGTCCGCCAACAAGATCGTCTTGCGGGGCCTCAAGACGCGTGTTTTAGTCGCGCGTTCTAATTGGGTTGACGAGCTCAATAAAGTGCTGTGGTCTTGTCGCACCACGCCCAGCTCGGCCACAGGGGAAACCCCATTTAGCCTTGCTTATGAAGCCGAGGCCGTCATCCCGGTGGAGATCGGACTGCCCTCTGAGAGAGCAGGTCGGCATGACGAGGGTAACAATGAGCAGCTGTTGAGAGAGAACTTAGACCTTGTGGAGGAGGTCAGGGAGATGTTTCGAATGCGAAACATAGCGCATCAGAGTCGTGTGGCAAAATTTTATAATAAGAGAGTTCGAGCTCGACAGTTTCAGGTCGGCGATCTGGTTTTGCGCAAAGCTGGATTAACTAATACTTATTCGCATATGGGCAAGCTCGCTCCTAATTGGGAAGGACCCTATATGGTTATCAATATTAAGCGACCTGGGTGTTATCAACTAGCAGATTTACAAGGTCGTCCGTTGTCATTCATCTGGAACATACACAACCTTAGGAAGTTTTATAGTTAATGCATTGGTGTTTCTGTCTTAATTCAAACTATCCACAATCAGATGTAAAGAGCAATGTATGGAAAAATACACAACAATAAATATAGAAATTCTGAAGCAAAAGATTCGAGTTTGTATTGCATCAATGAATTTGTACATGTGTGGTACATATGGTGAATGAGTTCATTGATTAATATAAGAATGCCAAAAGAAATACAAAAAGAGAACAAAAAAGTCCTAAACTAATCATCCGTCAGGTCGACGGGGATAGATGCGTCATTGGGGGCGGCGGCAGATCGAGCTGGAGACGACCGATCTGGTGGAGAGAGCGCAGGAGAGCGAGCAGCAGCAGCAGCCGGAGCAGCAGCAGCAGCCGGAGCAGCAGGGGGGGTGCTGGAAACCTCAGCAGGCACGTCATGAGGGCCTGCCACCCAAGCATCGAAGCTTGGCAACCCCTCTGTGTCCTCCCCCTCCTCTACGACAGAAGGGGGCCACACGGGCAGCCCCTCTTCATTCAACTCCCACTTGAGCTTCACCTGGGTGTCAGCGGGCTGGGCGAGGCTCCTTCCTTCCTCGTCAATGTCTTCACCCTCGAAGAAGGCCAGCTCGCCAATGGGAAAGTCAGCCCGGACTCGCAGCACCTTTCCACGAACCTCGTTGAAGATGTCCGTGGTCGTGTTGGCAGAGGCAACTGCCACGGCGTCCTGGAACATCTCTGCTCCAACCAGCCACTCAGCTCCTTACGCACGGGCAAAGCAGAGGTCGCGCTGATGGAGCCTCTTGCATTCTTCCAAGGACGCCTCAGCCCGGGCGACGTGCTGGTCAGCTTGTGAGACCCTCTCTGCCATGGCGTTCAGGTCGTGCAGAGTCTTTTCCCTCTCAGCTTCTGCCCTTTTGGCGCGGTCCTCTGCACGACCGGCCTCTTCCTTCGCAGCCTGGATGCCACTCTCTTTCTCCACTCGGGCCCTCACGAGCTCGTCTTTCAGCTCGTTAACTTTACGGGCCATCTCGTCAGCTCGGCTTTCAGCTGACGCCGCTCGGTCTGCCATCTCCGAGCTCTGCAGACGACTGACCTCGTCAGCCAAACTGGCTTTTTCAGTGGCCAGTTGCTTGCAGCTAGCCTGGAGCTCGTTGTTTCGCACTCGGGCTCCCTGCTCGCACTCGAACAGCGCGACAGTATAGCTGAACGCCTACAACACGTGTTCACTCGTCAGTTTATAGTAAAAACATGATAAAATACAATAATGAGTTTGGCAAGTGTGCTTACATCCATCAGCTTAATCAGCGCAGCATGTTCCCCATGCTGCTGAATGTGCCCCTTTGCACGCAGCCGGTCTGCGGGGGGCACAAAGTTCTGCATACCCTGCAGCATGGCTGCATGGCATTCAGTTCGCACATAACTGAAGCCATCCGGGTATGCAATCCTGGGCCCCACCACAGACGACGAGGTTGGCGTTTGCTCGGCGACCTCACGAGCGGGAGCTGGGGGCACGTTTCCAGGTCGCGCAGCAGCGGCTGGAGCGGGCTGAGAGCCGTTGTTCGTCCTTCGCCGGATGAGTGGAACATTGTCCTCGGCGTCAGAGTCCTCCCTTGTGCGCCGTCTAGAGCTGGAAGGCGCGGGCTCCACTCTCTGCTCGACGCATGGCCTCGGCGCCGAGCTGGAACTCCGATGCTGTGAGCTGCGCCCCGGTGCAGCAGGGGGCCGCTCATCAAAACGTGACTGACGCTGGGAGCTGGACCCAGCTCCCCGGCCTTGTGAGCTTTGTGCTCTCTGGCGTTGTCTCTCCAGAATGCTGCTCATGACTCCTGCACAAACAAAAGCATAAGACTCAGATCGGCTAGAAACTATACATTATATAAAGATATACCTTGAGAGTGTAGATTTGCCACGTCGACAAATCCATGAAATGCGATCTGCTCCGGGGTAACCAAGGTTTCCAAATCCACTAGCCCCCTCGCCTTCACATAGTCGAGCAGCCGGTTCTTTAGGTCGACATCACCGTTGGTCAGCTGGGGATAGTTCATATATGTGTTCGGCGTACGCCATTCTGACAGACGGGCTGCGAGCTCGCTGTTAATCCTGTCAGTTCGCGTATCCCGCACGAACACGAACTGTCTTTTCCACCTCGCTACCTTATTTCTGATGTTGGTGAAGATTATCATCTTTTCCCTGCCCGAGATGTAGTACCACCTCATCCCGCTGGTGGACGGGCACAAACGGCATAGGAAGAGCGACCTGAAGACCACCGCCTTCACAGGCATCCCCAGCCTTTCGCACAACAGCATAAAGCCTATGATGAACTTTATGCTGTTGGGAGTAAGTTGCGAAAGGGCCAGCTCGTACTTTGCCAGGACATCAAAAATTAGTCCGAGCAGAGGAAAACGTAGACCGGCGTCAAAATGATCTACGTATACTAGCACCCAGCCCGTCCGTGACACTGAACACGCCCGTTCATTTGGTGTCCCAGCTCGGATCAGGATGGTCCTGGGGATCTGGAATCGCCTCACCATCTCTTCCAGCTTCTTGTACCCTTTCACCGTGGCAGCACCATCAGCGACCTCGTGATGAAGCACTGCCCTGAACTTGAAGCCGGCCGGCAGGGTCTTGGGAGCCTTGCGAAGGTTGTCCAGCCTTCTGCTGAGAACCTTGCTCTCCCACCCTTCGAACACCACCACCTCTGCTGCTGCACTTGTCATCGGTGCACCGCAGCCAACCTCCTCAACGCCCTCCGCCCCACTAGACGTCTCTTCCGTTGACGAATCACTGGAGGTGGAAGGCTGGTGGCCCCCAGAACCACCGCTCACGCTCGAACTGACGTCACTCCCAGGCGCGGCGGTTCTGGGCGAATCCTGTAACTCCGGTGGCACTATCATCGCGATAGGCTCCACGGATATCACATCGACATCCTCCTCTTCACCTTGGTTACCCCAGAACTCTCGTGCATCGTGGAAAGAAGCCATTTTTACCTGAGTAGTTGAAGGTGTTTTCGCTGGAAATCTGGAAAATGGCCGTGAATGTCTCTGCAGTTTTCTCTGAAAATGTACAAATATGCTGTGTAACGAAATGAAAAACCTAACAAATTGTTTTGTTTGTTTTGTTTTGGCCGTTCAGATGGCGCCCTGTAAACACCGTATGCGTGTTTACGGCCCCCCAGTTCAGCACGACCACGTGGCAACCATTTATGGTTACAAATCCAAAACGCGCCGTCTACAACTGTCACGTCCCCTCGAATGCTGAACCAGTATTTATTGCGGGGAGGCAAAAGGGTATCTGTTAAAAGCAGAAGAATACCAAACGCTCTGAGCAAATCTCCTCACAGATTCGCCACAATCGTTGAAAAAATCCGAAGGATCAGATCGCTACAAACTTTAATAATCAGCTCGTAACAAATTTGAGACTTAGGCAATTCTCCTCAGAGATTCGCCACAGTTCAAATTTTGAAAAGTCGAAGGGCCCAGCTCGTAACAAATCCGCGATCTCCTCACAGATCTGCCAAAATTCAAAACTAGAAAATCTCGACAAATCAGCTCGTTACTAAAATCGAAAAACCTATGGAGATCAGGTCGCACAAATCATGGATTCGCCTCAGGTTCAGGCGTCGTACGTTAGACTATGACCAACTTCCTCAGAGCTGCTCTGTATCCCAAAGACCTATATCGGAGTGATGAGTGTGGTCGCTATTCTCTGCCTGTCTAGGGTCGGTGCGTTCTGCTCGTTCGCTATATGCTCGCCTCAGCTCCGCCGCAGGGAATTCCTCATGCAAGGTCACTAATGCGCGGCTGCTCGACCCTCTGGCTAGCACCGAGCTCGACCGGTCGTTAAACCAACTCCTCACGTCTGCTCGGGGTAAGGCCGCCATACACTGGCACATCTGGCCCGGCGCCATGCCTTCAAGCTGGTCAGGCCGTCCATACGTGAGGTCGTTCATGAACCCAAAGTATCCCTCCTCAGTGTTTTATCTACCACTTGAAGGCCCCCTCAATAAATGAGCAGGGTTGTGCAAGAGCCAAATCTCCACTCGGGTTAAGCAAGATCCAAATCTTTATTTGGTGAGTCTTTTAAAAAAAAAAAAAGAATTATGAGCTGAGACCCTGCACGAACGAGCTGACAAAGCTTCAACAAAGCATGACGAGCCGACAAAGCTCCAACAAAGAATGACGAGCTCACAGAACTCCAATGAAGAATGATGAGCTCACAAAGCTCCAACACAGCATGACGAGCTGAAAGAGCTCCAACAAAGCTGCTCCAGGTCGTCACTTCAAAACTTCCTGCTTCCAGGTCGTCACTCCTGAGCTTCCTTGTTTCAGGTCGTCACCTCAGTTCCCTGGCTCCAGGTCATAATGCCTCGGCTCCGGCCGCGATGACTCTGGTCATCATTATTTACCTCGGCTCCGGCCATTGTGACACCAGGTCACTAGTTCTACTTTGGCTCCGGCCATAGTGACCCCAAGTCGCCTATTTCACCTCAGCTATGGCCCAAAACACATGCACCGAGCTCGCCTGGTTTTAACACCAGCTCCCCCACGCCTGCTCGATAGGAAGCCGGCATACACATGCACAATAGAATTGGCTGCGATGGCTTCAGGCCGCCTAGATCGGTCGTGCGTGAGGGCGGACATGAACATAAAACATCACTCCTCATCCTCAGGGTCAAACACCGTGCTAACAAGACTCCCAACCCA